AAACTGAACCATGATGTGAATGAGAAATAAACTTTTACTGTGTGAAGCCATTGAGGTTCTAAAGTTTATCTACTGAGGTTGGGAGAGCTAATTATTCTGCCCAATAGGATAGTACAGAACTCACATCACTGCCTGCCACATGAAGTACTCAATAAATGCATTCTCAGTCGAACTCCTCTCAAGGTTCAGATGCTCCTTTTCTCTTCTCTCCTCCTCGGCTGCGCCGTTCTGCTGCTCTTCACTCTTCTGTTCATCTGCTCACCTGCTTACAGAGCCTTGGTTATTGGGTACAGAATAGGGAGTCGTGGTGGGCCAAACATTTGAGCACAAAAACAGGAATGCCTGTTCCCATTTAGGGCCACGGGTTTTCAGGCTTGAGGGTGGGGCCTTTGCTGGGGAACCACCCTCTTCCACCCAGTATTTCTTTGCCTCCTGTCCATACCATTAGCAATACCGCTTTTTCTCCCTTTGACATGAGGGAAGCATATCCCAGATTGGGATCTCTCCTTGCTGGCCCTGTAATGAAGACAAATGGAGCAGAGTGACAGCTGAATCACAGTCAGCACAAATTGTGAATAAGAAATAAACTCTTGTTGGAAGCCACTAAGATGTGGCAGTTGTTTGTTACTGCAGTATAATGTAACTAAACTTTAGCTAAGTTATATATTAACCAAAGGGAACTGACTAATAGAATAATGTTAATATAGACATAGGCATCTGGCAATTGGTCCAGTTTTCCTTCCTTGACATTTTTTCTAAACAGCTTTTATTAAACATGAAGAGGAAACAGTGCTCAGGTATGCATATGACAAGCTCTTGAGGTTAATAGCTAATAGTTTGATAAAAGAATCAAGAGCCAAAAAGAGAAAAACAAACTGGAACAATGGTTTCCCAAGATGCCATTTAACTGGAAATATAAGGTCTTCCACACAACTGCAGGATAAGGAAGGCAGCAATTCTCATGAAAATAATGTAAACTTTAATTTTATATTCAACAGAATATAAAGCAAGAGGGTGAAGTTGTTGCCAAAAAAGTAGACTTCAGGCTATATTCACAGAAATGTGGGACTCCAAATGGTTACAGTTTTAAGTATCTTCACAACTGTAGTCACTTTAATTTGTTGAATTCCCTCTTGGTTGTAGAACCTAAACTGAAAAGAATCGGATTTGGTTTAACTCCCAAAAAACAGTGACTAAACTGTATAAGGCTTGTGTACATCCTGTAGGAGAGGAGAGTAGGAAAACTTAAGAGAGAAGAGAAAAAAGAGGAGGCTACCACCTTAGGAGAGTTTAAATATATGAATTTAAGCATTTAAAAGCCTGTCTTTTAAAATAAGCATTAGAATTATTCTGCTTGACTTTGAAGTACAAAACAGACATGGCAGGGGAAAGAAAGGGATTTTCAACAAATAGATCCTCTTCCTCACCCCAAATTAAAGGGGCTGCTTTGGATGTGCTAGAGAGGAGATCCACGTGTGAGTACAAATAAAAATTAGTATCAATGATAGCAAGAGTTTCTCCTAAATGTGAAGGACCAAAACCAATTTGCAGAGGGCAAGACGGGATTAGTCCAGTGGAATACCTTGGGGAGCTATTAATAATTTATAATTTGCAGTTCATATTGGAAAATGATTTTCACTTACCAAGGAAAAGTGCCAAATTGGTATTATTACCCTCATGAAGTGGGGAATCACCCTCACTCCCCCACAGCCAGGACCACCAGTGTGCATTTAGATTTAGGAATGGGCTGGTCTGCCACACGTGCACTTGCTTTCTCTTGTCAGCAAAAGAAAGACACATCTTTGGCAAACCCTCTGTTTTAAACCTGGCATTTCCATTTTTTATTTGTCTAAAACAGAGAGAGGGAAAATAGCTATAAGAATACAACTAGTCCCAACTGGTAAAAAGAAAGGCAAGTGGCCAACGTAAATATTATAGCATAAGGCTGAAGCAGAGAAGAAATGAGAAGAAAAGATCAGCCCCTCCGAAAAGGTTCTCTCAAAATACAAGGCCATGCCAAGGAAAGCCACAGGGGCAACACCACAAGCCCAAGGAGAGCTTTAATCAGGAAAACCTGGCCTCAGGCACGCGCATGCAGCTTCCTACCCGCCTTTCTGTGTGCCATTTTCTGAAAATTAGGAGATAGGAGGTTTGTTCATGGCCAGATGAAAAAGCAAGGCACACTTCGAATGGCAGCCCTGGTAGGATTCATGTTTCTACAGGTTTTTTCCTCTACTTCCCATAAATCTCATGCTATATAATCTCCCAGGGCCATCTCTCCTAATCTTATGGCTTCTGTCCTAAGACCATGGTAGTCTTTAAGCTATCCACCCCTAAATCTAAATCTGCAGACTACATCCACCAAAGACATCAAAGACATTTATATCCTATTGTTTATTAAATAACTATCCCTGGGATTTCCTACTGACACTTCACATTTACGAGGCCCCAAACTCCCACATTTATCATCCTACTGATGCAAGATTTTTCCTTGACCCCTTGCAGAACAGGGGTGCTCTGTTTACCCCACACATCACACTCAGCTCCTCACAGGAGGGAACATGCAAGTGAGTGAGTACAGGAACCTGACAGCCACTTTAGTGCCAGCAGAAACAAACTCTGTGCAAGCCCCACAGTAGCATCCAGGTAGGCGTGCCTGTGATCCCAAGGCCCCAGAAGGTATGTTACAATGTTTTCTTAGCTCAACCATCCATGGAGAGCAGTGTGCTATCAGCTCAGTGGGCCCTTTGCCTTGTCGAGGGGAGTGGTTCCCTTCTGCCAGCAAGAGCAACGAGCCAGTGTGACAGCCTTCTTGGGTACCCACACTTGGTGGGTCCCAAATTCTTGTCCAGTACCCAAGAAGAATGAGATCATACAGACAAATTGAAGGATGGTGAATGTGGAGAATTTTATTGGTGATGAAAGCAGCTCTCAGCAGAGAAGGGGGCTGGAACGGGATGGGAAGGGAAGGTCACTCTCCCCTGAAGCCAAATGGCCTCTCTGCCTCTTCCTCCAAAGTCAAGTTGCCTCTCTCTGATGTCCCTACCTGCCTAGAGTAACTCCTCCTCCTGCCTCTATCACTACTTGTGGGAATAATAGATAGCAGGGTCAGGAGCATGGAAGTCATATTCTTTATTTTCCTCTCTCCCTCATCACCTCCTCCATTTATATTCCACCTTCCCTCACGTCCCACCTCCCCATTCCCATTTAAGTCCTGTTAATTACAACCCCCCTGAACATTTCTTCCATCCAGGTGAGCACTATCTGAGTTCACCACCATCATCTCTCACCTGGATTACTGAGACAAACTCCTGGCTGGTTTTCATGATTCTGATCTTACCATCCTCTCATCTGTTTTTCACATAGCATCCAGAATAATCCTCCTAAAAGTGCAAATTGATATTACTCCCCATTTAAAACCCTTCAAAAATTCCCTTTGGCCGTCAGGATAAAGTTCAAAATTGGTAATGTGGAATAGAAGACTCTTGTATTCTATCCCGTGCCTCTTCCCTGACCTCTCTCTAGCCTGTTAGTCCTCTTCCCACACACACCCAAAACAGCTTCATCATGTCACTGAATTTATCATACTCCCTTTTAATCTTTGTACATTCTATTTTTTTTGTCTGGAAAGGTCTATCTCTGTAGTGGCCACACGCAACCAGTAAACTCTTAAGCAAAGTTCGGGTCCATTGAAAAGCCTAGCAGACCTTGTTAATGCTTCCCTCATCCCCTACCCCCAAACAGTACCATTATCATCTGAGCCCTCTTCAGACTGTCCCCCTACAGACACACCAATAGTTTCTTGCCTAAGTCTTGCTGCCTAAAGGAACATTCTGGTCAGGAGGTGGTTCTCCATGCACCTGTCAGGAAGGTACCCCAGGAGTGACCCTCAACTAATGAGGGTTAGAAGTTGCTGGATAACTTGCTCACCTCTCCATAGGACAGCTCTGAGATGCACTCTGTACAGTTTCTTAGAGGTCCCTAGAGGGACCGAGTCCTATTTACCCATAGCAGAAACCTGCTCATTAATTCACCCAGTATCGGCTTCTCTTCCTTCCCTCTCTTACCTTCCCACTCACTCACCATGCTTCTTGATTCTTCCCCCAAATAAATTTCCATAACATTAGGGGAAGCTGGATGAGAAGTCTACAGGAACTCCCTGTACTATCTTTGCAACTCTTCTGTTAGTCTATAATTGTTTCAGTATCAAAAATAAAAACAAAAATAAAGTCAGCTTTTTCCTGTAAATACCAGAATGGTAATAGCATGCACCCCTGCTGGTTTTATTGGAAAACTCTGGTCCCTGGTCAGGCATAGGGGCTCACGCCTATAATCCCAGTGCTTTGGGAGGCCAAGAGGGGAAGATCACTTGAGCCTGAAGTTCAAAACTTGCCTGGCAACATAGCAAGACCCTGTCTCTACAAACAAAAAATTAGGGCATGGCAGCACATGACTATAATCTAAACTACTGGGGAGACTGAGGTAGGAGGATCACTTGAGCCCAGGAGTTTGAGGTTACAGTTAGCTATGATCATACCATTGCACTCCAGCCTAGATTACAGAGAGAAACCTTGTCTCTAAATATATATATTAGGTCCCAAAAAATGTCCTCTAGCTTTTTCTAGGAGTTCCTTCAGTTTTCTCTCACAGGTGCTCAGCATTGCTGCCACATCTACTGTAAATACTGTAATGCACATTAAGTCATTACTTCACTGGACATAACTACCCTTCGCCATCACCTGTTGCTGCCACTGTCTACCCTTGAAGGAAGGGAAGGAAGCTCTTCCCTTAGCTACTCCATCTCAGGGGTGCCGCAAGATTTTCCCTTAATTTATCACAGCAAATTGGAGAGTAGGATGTTTTCTTCTGGAAGATTTATGGTCTCGAGTTCTATTTTTCACTAAATTTTTTCTCACTTCATACACTGATTTTTTTTTTGGTGGGGGTAGCAAATTTCTTTATCTGAAGGACAAAGAACTTAAGTGGAAGTTTTGGTACAACTTATATAAAAGGTAAAGGAAACCCCAACATGCGTGCACCACCTTGGTGACCAAGGAAGTCACCCCATGGCTATGGGGAAATTAGCTTAAGGCTTAGCTTTCATTATCACTGTCTCCCAGGGTGTCAAAGAGATATTCTGCCAAGCCAGATTGGGGTGCTCCCATCTTTCGTAAGTTGGTCATGTGGTCACCCAATTCTTTGATAGATTTCACCTGCTCATTCAGGTAATGTGTCTCAATGAAGTCATACAAATGGGGGTCATTTTTGTCAGTGGCCAGTTTGTGCAGCTCCACCAGTGACTGATTCACATTTTTTTCCAAATGTAATGCATACTCCATTGCATTCAGCCCACTCTCCTCGTCATCATAGTCTGGTTTCTTGATGTCCTGAAGGAAGCCACCACGTTGGTTCTGCAGCTTCCTCAGTTTCTCAGCATGTTCCCTCTCCTCATGAGATTGGTGAAGAAAGTATTTGGCAAAGTTCTTCAAAGCCACACCATCGCAGTCAAAGTAGTAAGACATGGACAGGTAGACACATGAGGCGTAGAGCTCCAGGTTGACCTGGCGGTTGATGGCAGCCTCTGAGTCCTGGTGGTAGTTCTGGCTCACCTGCGAGGGGGATGCGGTCGTCATGGTGGCAGCTAAGGAGAGGCAGCGGTGGTGGCTGCACAGCGCTGGAGCAGCGGCGGGGTCCTTGGGGTGGTCCTAGGGTGCGGTGTGGAGGTGATGGAGGGCTGGTAGCCGGCCGGGGTGGGGGACCAGCACTGGTTCCGTCCAAGCACCGTTGAAGCAGGAAACCGCGGTGACTCTTGGTGGAGAACGTCTAACAGTGATTTTTTAATGGGTCATAGGCTTAAATATAAAACCCAGAACTATTAGTCTTCTAGAAAAATAAATAAATAAATAAGAGAATATCTTTCTGACCTTGGCATAGGCAAAGCTTTTTGGACAGGATGCAAAAAGCCATACAAGAAAAAATTGATATGTTGGACTTCAACAAAACTGAGAATTTCTACTTGTTAAAGTATGCCATTAAGAAAATGAATTAAGTCACAAACCAAGAAATAATATTTGCAGCACATATATGTAATGAAGGCCTTTTATACAGAATATGTTTTAAAATATCCTGCAAATCAACAATAAAATTATGTAGAATTTAATAAAAAGTTGGTGAAAGATGAACAGACATTTCATAAGAGATATGAATGGCCAATACACACATAAAAGGTGCCCCACAGCATCAGTCATCAGACAGAGGCAAATTCACACATGTAAAATACCATTTTAGCCCCCACTAGAATACCTAAGATTTTCAAAAATACTACACAAAATGTTGATAAAGATGGACAGCAACAGGAACTCTGATAAGAAGGTAGAGTGGTACGAGTTTGGAGAACTACTTCGTAGACAAGAGGAACATGTTCACAGAAAGATTTGTGAAAGAATATTCATTTATAATAGCCCAAATTAAAAACAACTCAATGTCTGTAAATAAGAAAATGAATAAATAAATTGTGGCATATTCATGCATTGGACAACTACTCAGCAATAAAAAAAGAATAAACTACAGACCAGGTGTGGTGACTCACATTTTAATCCCAGCACTTTGGGAGGCTAAGTGGGGTGGATCACTTGAGGTCAGGAGTTTGAGACCAGCCTGGCCAACACAGTGAAATCCTGTTTCTACTAAAAATACAAAAAGTAGCTTGGCATGAGTAGCTGTAGTCCCAGCTACTCGGGAAGTTCCAGCTACTCAGGAGGCTGAGGCAGGAGAACCGCTTGGACCCAGGAGGCAGAGGTTGTAGTGAGCCAAGACTGCGCCACTGCATTCCAGTCTAGGCAACAAAACAAGACTCTCCCTCAAAAAAAAAAAAAAAATTAATGAATGAATGAACTACTGATTCATGCAACAACATGGATGAATCTCAAGTACATCATGTTTAATGAAACAAGAAGAAAGATAATCAGCTGTAAGAGGCAGTGTTATGGCACTACTTTATTTCTGAGCTATCCTTGACTAACCCCAAGGCCAAGGTAAGTAAAGTGAATTCATTAGCAAGTATGGCTAACACCAAACCAATACCATGTGTTTCACCCATTCAGAGCTCTGGGCAGTCAGGAATTAACCCCCAGTGGGTATTATTCGTCAAGTATTAATTACAATTGCTGCTTGCTCAGATTTTTCTGGACATAGGATAGGACAGCCCAGATTTCATTCAAATCCCAGAGGAACATTTCCTCTAGAAACTGGACCCTGCCACATCAGACATGACAAGACTTCCAAGCAGTGGATAAGGCAACCCTCCAGGAGACTGGCAGTCACTGGCTGGCTCTGCCAACATCCCACGTGGCTGTCAGCATGACAGGACAGAAAGGGGCAGCCCTCCTACAGCCCCAGCAGAAGCCACATGTTGTATGATGGGCCAAGAGCCACTGGAAGCAGGAGAGGGCTATTTCAAATTATGAATTGGGAGCAAACATGGTAAATTGTGGCCTTGTTCCTAAGCAGGAGCAAATTCATTCTGGCTACCAACAGTGCCCAGCCCCACTGCCAAGATTGCATAGGTTTTCAGTGGGAAGAACCTGCTGCTTGGTGTTTTAATGGCCCCTAAGAAGGCAAGGAAATGGGCTAAGGGAATGGTCAGCAGATTTTTTCCTGGCTGTCTGGGGAACACAAACAATGCCATTACTAGACTCCCTGAAAGAGAAATGGCCACCCAGGCACCCCTTCCTGAACCCAGGCCTGGGGCCTGAGGCCTGCTGGCCAGTGGGCGGCCTGCTCAGTGTGTTGCTTCCAAAACAGTTTCCAAAAGCAGCTGAAAGCTACAGCATGGGTGAGCCTGGAAGACATAGCACTCAGTGAAATATGCCAGTCACAGAAAGGGATACATGCTGCATAATTCCACTTATACGAGGTACCTAGGATAGTCCAATTCTTAGAGACAGAAAGCAGCACGGTGGTTATCAGGGATTAGGGGTAGGGTGGAAGGGGATGGGTAGTTTATTGCCTGTGGGGTTTCAGTTTGGGAAGGTGAAAAAAATTCCCAGAGATGGGTGTTGGTTGTACAATGATGTGAATGTATTTTATGCCACTCAACTTAAAAATGGTTTATATAGTATATTTTATGTTATGTATATTTTACCACAATTTTCTTTTAAAACGTAGCTGGGGAAGGGACATTCCCAATCATGTCTCCCATGCTATGAAGTCATCTTGTCCATCGTTTCTGCTCCTTGGACTGTGTCCTGACCCAGGTCTACCAGTAAGCACAACTCTAATTTTTCCAGAATGTACATTTGGGCTTAGAAAGGCCTTTCTTCCTCATCCTTCCCCCAGCATACCTTCTCATCACACACCTATCAGGGAGGTGAGTTGGTCAGTAGAATTATACTGACGGATTGAGCCAAAATATTTTTTAAAAGGAAAGAAAGAAAGAAAAAAGGAAAGAAAGAAAGAAATTCAGAGAGATGATCCTGACCAAGATGGCAGGAAGAGGGAGGTAGACGGCCATTCCTGGGTGACATAGCCAATAATGTTTCCTATGGGACTCCTCATTCCACTACCTCCTTTCCTCACCAGATATTTCTTCCCCAAACCTGGCCTCAGGTCTCCTGCCCAAAATCCTATTTGGGGGAAAGAAGCTCAAAACTCACTCCATGGAGGTATAAAGTAAATGTTTTAACTTGTTAATTCTGGCAGGGCTATTGTATCTGTGAACAGGTGTCAGTAGGAGAAACGTAGCTATGGGATTTTAGGGAGTAAACAACAGGGTGGTAGAGCAGGAGGTACAAGAAGGTCTTCAGAAACTCCTGAAGGAGTATTTAAAGGCTGTCTACTCATCAACTACAGGCAGCCTTGAGATTTCCTCTGCAAAGATTTGTTTCTATTAGAGCCCACTCCCAGATTCCTGAGCATAGGAAGAAGAAAAAGCAACAATTCTGGAAAAGTAAATATGATCGCTACTTTTTGTGAAGCATTTACTATATAAAATACATTATCTCATTTAATCCCTCCAGCCGCTTTATAAGTGAGGACATTATTATTTACATTTGACAAATATGGAAACTGAGACTTTGAAAGAGAACGCAATTGCCTTTTTAAAAATACCTATATAAACACCTGGATAATCTTGAAGTTGTTTGTTTTCATTTTGGGGTTTGTTGTTTTTTTTTCTTTTTGCCACGTTTTCACATTGCCATTTCCCTCCATTGACAACTCCTTCTCTTGGACCCAAAATACCAGCACTCCCAGGCAGGAGATTATAGGAGTCAAGAGCACAGTTTGGAGTGAGAGAACCCCACGTTTGAATTCATCACTTACTTGTTGCATCCTGTTGAATAATGTGTGTGTGTGTATGTGTGTGTGTTTACAACATCAGATCATATCTGAGAGAGCATGCATGTGTGTAAATGAACCCTATCTAAGGACCAGTCTTAGTGGAAGAAAATTAATCATCTTTAGAATAAAAATATTTAAAAAGATGTCTGCAAACACGCATCAGAACTAAGCACTATGAACACATTCTATCTGGTTAGGCCTTCATTAAAGAACATGTTTTTGCAATCCAGATTGTATATACCCCTCCAATATTTATGATTCTGTAAGCATTCATTCAACAACAAATATGTGAGGCACCTCATGGGATAGCAGATAAAAAAATTAATAGATTCAGTCCTCACCCTCAAGGAGTCCACAGTCCAGTAAACGATATAGACAGGAGACGTGTCAATGAGTGGCACAATAAGTGATAATACAGAGATGGATGCAGCGCTGTGGGGTCACAAAGAAAGGGGTGCTAAAATGACTAGGAACATGCCAAGAGAAAATGATAGGAAAAGCGCTCCGAGCAGAAGGAAGATTGTGTGCAAGGATACAAAGGCTTAATAAATAAGTCGTTCCCAGAGAACTGCAATAGTTCACAGCCGGTACACAGGTAAGGGCTGTGGCAGGCGACAGGACCAGTCCAGTAGGCCAGGGCAACTGGAATGCCTCTTCAGTCTCGAATGAGTTTGGATTTCACCCCGTAGGCAACAGGAAGCCATTCAAGGTTTTTAACCCAGTGGTAACATGATGCAATGTTCATGTCGCACAGATAGCTTAGGCCATCACTGTGTGGAAAATGGACTGGAAGGGAGTGGAAACACGGAGACCCATGAAAACTCCTGCAGTGATTCAAGTGAGAGAATATTGGAGCTTGAACAACAAATTCAAGAGACTCTGACAGGGACATTGGACAGAATTCAGTGAAGAGAGGAGTATTCAACAGGAAATTATTTAAAATGATTCCAGCGTGTTGGGCTCATACATTAGCCAACTGTCTGGCAAAGAAAAGGATGCACTTTCTCCAGTGAGCTTAAGAGTACATCACTGAAGCACACAAATCATCTAAAGCCCTGTGAGTCCCCATCTACAAGGTTAGGGCACCACATAAAAGCAAACTTTCATTCCTGTCATCTGCTCCCCTTGCCGCTTTGTCTCCCATCCTGCTCACAAGGGTTTCATATACAGAAAACCCATCTTGAAAGCTGGTCCTTCTGCACACCCTGCTGCCCATGCCAACCCTGAAGGCACAAACGCAAGTTTTGCCCAATTCATTTTTGTATGCTTCTGTAGAATTCTTTTCTTTGGGTTGCTAAAATATAATTTCAAGCAACTTGTCATCATGGAGCAGCGCATCTTTATTTTTAAAGCCACAGTGAGTGCATCTGGG